ATACTGCCATTGCGCCCAAAACATATATGGGGATGAAATCTAAAAATTAAAAAAATAAAAATAAAAAAGTTGGGTCCTCTCTTTTTCCTATCTCTCTCTATCTCTTATTTTTATCTTTTTCTCTTACTTCTTTCCCAATTCTTTCCATTTTTTTTATATTATGTTGGTTGTAAGATAATTCTTGATTTGTTATTTATCTATAAAAAATAGGTATTTTTCTTATATTATTTCTTTCTCTTACTTCATTTTATATATTTAGTTTGTTATTTTATATTTTTAAAAAATATAAAAAGGTTCTAATAATATATTTATAATTTGTTTATATAGAGATAATTTGATTTTAAGATAATGGAGTCAATTTGTACCCTAAATTGACACTTTTATCTTTCAAATATAATTACTCTTTATTCACAAATTCTTTGTAATTTAATAATATCTATTAATAAAAATTTTGAGTCTTACTCTTTTTCAATCTCTCTCCATCACTCCTTTTCTTTTCCTTTCTCTCACCCAATTCTCTAATAATAAATGGTACACTAGAAATGACATATCTATACAAGAAGAAATATTTTTAACTTTTGAAAATAATTTTACAAGTGATAAATGGCATCCATGTAAGTAGAGAAGAAATTTTTTTGAGTCTGAAGCGTATTTTAAAAGTTTTGGTTTGTTTTGAAGATCGACAATCTTTGCAAGAAGTTTTGAAAAAGATTACTTTTGCTATATTTCTATCATTTTGTAATATTAATGTATTTTTAATTTTAGAATTTAGTTAGTATATTGATCAAAATGGAATGCCTATTGAAACAAAATTAAACAAACAAGTAAATAGAATTTTTATTTATCTAGTTTTAATAATTTTATTGACTACTCTATATACTTTCATACTTTTATATTTTTTTCTTTTAACATAGAAAATTTCAATTCACTTCTCATCATTACAAAGCTATAATCTTTGTTATTCTTTCTTTTCTTTTCCTTTTTCTTTATTGGCATTTTCTTCTTTTATATTTAGAGAAGTAATTGCCTATAATTAGAGAAGTAATTGCCTATAATTAGGTGTAGTTATATATATTATTTTTGAAATTAAATTTTGTATAGGTAGTTAGTTTAGTATTCTTAAAATGCTATTAATTGACTATTAAAAAATATATCTTTAACAATAGAATTTACTATTCTATATGACTTCCTTTTGTGGTGTGCAAGTTTTCAATTTTTCAATTTATCTTTTTATTTTTTGATTTTTTTTGTTCTAACCTTAAAAAAATTAATAATTTATGTAGAGATTAGAAAGATAATTGACAAATTATTTGATGATATTATCATTATTTAATATAACTTATCAAGAATAAAATGTTGTTTAATTTTTTATTATTTACTTCTAATAATAACTTTTAATTATATTTTTATTATTTTTTAAAACTTAAATACATTCTAATAACCCAAAAAGTGGATTGAAAAATGTTAGTTTTTAAAAATTTTCAAAACCAACAAAATATAAAGGTAATTTACTCATTTAGTGGCATCCAAAACTTTTAATTAATTAAC